GACAACTAACTGCAAACCGGCGATTTCAGATTTCATCGAAAAATGTTTGGCTGAAAAATACCTACCTCCTACTGTAATAGAATCTGACTTGATTTCGAAAAATTAATCCCTGGAACCAGCCATTTTATATAAACTCTATTTCCTATTTCCCTTTTGTAAATACGAGTATAAACTACTTCTTTTCTATAACGTCTGCGTCGTTCCCGTGTTGTTATCGTCCAACTTTCCTACCGCTGTGCCATTTGATCAGTTAACCATGATAGTGTGCAAAGAAGCTATTTGGTATCCAACCACACTTTTATAAAAACTTTCATCACCGGCATTCAGTGTTGTTGCCTTATTATAATTAGGGCCAATTAATACCCGAGTTAGCAGCATGTTTTTCAACCCACTAAACAGGTATGTGCATTTTAAATCATCAGAGAGGCTATAGTTTTTAATATGATCATTGCTGGAATATTGGTATCCGGTTTCCAATAACCGTACTGATTGGCAAATGAACAGCACAGAAAAATAAACAATTTTGTTGAGGAGTGCTTCATATTTCTGTGTAAAATTCCATTACTCGGACAAAAAAAAATATTCTTTGCTTGATACTTTTTGAAGTAAAGAAATATTGCTACTGAAGAAACATGAATTTAATCGTATAATAATGTATTTGTTTTTCGATAATTTAGCGATTAGACTCTTTACAACAAACATTCATGTTGTTGTTGCGTTACTTTAAAGAAACCATTGTTTATTTTATATTTGTTCACACCCCATAATAAACGTTTAAAACCTGCTCCATGATATGCTCTATAAGTCGAAAAACTCAGCATGACGAAAATTTAAGTGATTCCTGAGCCAACCCTTTATAAACGTTCTGTAATCACACTTATGTAATATATATATATATATATATTTTTTTCACTTTTCTGTGTAAATTAAATTTTCTAACAACTAATAATATGTCGTGTCCGATTAGTGTTATTTAAACTTTACTTATTTTTTTCATACAAACCATACTCGTATCCACCCACCTAACTACTTAACTACCTACGAAACAGATGATTTCCTATCAACGCACTATCTGCGTGGTTTATTATCTTATTTAAATGACGTGGACATGATTCCTCAAAATAAAGACGCTACTGCTTTTGCTTATTTTATATTTGTTCAGAGACTTAGCACTATTATTTTTTTAACGTTTAATGTGTGGTGACGGATAAATAGAGTTTGATATTTTATTTAATTTTTTTTTATTTTTGAACTGATTATTACAAGGGGGCCATAATTTAATTTTAACAAAAACGAGTATATTATTGTTTTTTTTGTTGGTATTTTCTTTAAATTAAAAGAGACTCAGTCACGTCAAGAATAGTCTAAAACGATAATAAATAATAGAATAATATTAATATTTTAATGTGATTATTTATTGTAGTTCAATTAGCAGTTAGGCTGTCTACCCAAATATAATTAAGGCGTAAAATATTTACTATCGGCTTCGGTTATCTTTCGTGCTAAAAGATTAGGAAAAATAAATATAATATAAACAAAAAACATCTACAATAACAAATAAAAAAATAAACATGGGATAATATGATCTAATAGGTTAATTAGTTTAAAAATTATAGTTGCATAGTGGAATGTAGAAAGGAACGGAATAACGAGAAGTTCGTTTAATGACCTTGAAGTTAAATAAACTTAAGCGGAACGGTGACTTATGTTATTTGTATGCTTAGTTTTATTACCTTGTTAAATACCTCAATTTACATAATTATTATAATATTGGCTCTCAGGAAAAAAAATTTAATAACAGATAATAGTATAGTTACTACATTATATCAACGTTTATTTTATTTTCTAGGCAATGAAATAAATTATATAGTTTTAAATATTCAATTGTATAGTTCTAGTAACATACATTTTTTTTTTTAATTTATGATTTTGATTTTCCATAATACTAATTATAAATCAACGTAAACATTCAGATAAAACGCTATATGATCTTACACAATTTTAATACACATTTTTTTAATTTCCGTGTTTATAATAAATAAATTAATAATTATTTATATTTTTAAATTGTAACAATATTAATAATGAGATTATATAATTTTTACAGTAAAAATAAAAGAGACTACCAGATCACTAAGGAAGGTTCTTATAAAAAGCAAAAGACAGTTAAAGATTTATCTAGGTAGTTATAAATTATTTAGTTTGACTAAATTAAAACAAGACATTCTTAAAGATTATCTTAAAATGTTATATGATTATACATATTTAATAAACTAATATAATATAACTTTATCTATATCTTAAAATGTATGTTTAAAAGTTTAATTTATAATATTGCACCGGAAATTCTTTTTTTAAAATTATTAATCGGTAGGACTTTTCAAGCTCATTACTAGTTGCAAATCATTTGCTTTGATTGCACTTATTTGTAAGTTATAGACATTTAAAGTGCTCGCTCTAAATTATGACGTTTACTATGGACGTCCCACATCGCTCTTCGTAGTTAACAATAATAATAATGACCATTATTAATCTCATCTCATCATTTATGATGAGATATACCAAAAAAGTTATTTTTATGTAACTGCGGTTTGAGAGTTAACTTAAGTTATATACCTAATCCGAATTTTTTTTTACATTAAGAATTATATTCATTTATTTTATTCGTAAGGCCGTCATCAGCAGAAAAAGTAATAAAGATAAAAAAAAAAATGACTTGTTAAGTATATTTTGTTTCCAACCAAATGCAAATAAACAAAAAAATCCTCCCGATATTTCTTCGCAAAATGTCGACATTAACGGGTGTCTCATAGCCCTTCCATTTAAAAACACAAGCTATTACACGTTTCAGTAATTCTAAAGCTGGCTTGAAAAAAATACATATTTTAACTGTAAATAAAGGCATTCAGCCAGTGTGTGACATTGCACCCGAAGAGCGAAACTTGGTTCCTTCACTTAAGCTGGAATAGTATCGAGAAACAGTTGCGCCATCACCGACATCTCATTATAATCTGCACTAAGGTAGGTTGGATTTTCTTTTAAAACTTCTCACACCATATAATTATTTTTAATACTTTTTCATGCGTCAAATATGCCCTAAACTTTTCACCTACAAACTACGAAAAGTCGTTTAAATAATCTCAGACCATAAGACGTTAAATTGTAAGATTATATACATCATGTAAAGTTGGTGTAGTTGTGGAAATCATAATTTTATATTTTTTATAGTATTGTAAAATTAAATTCACATTTCACAGTATTTTCAAAAATATAATGTCGGTAGGATGTAAATATTATTTGCTCTGATATAAAGTTGCGCATTTGGCTAAACCTAAATATTTAAACTCATAACGAGGCAAACCATCATTATCGCTGATTAAATGGCAACAATTTACTATTATTTAACTTTCAAAATATTGTTTAATTATTTTAAGTATAATGAGAATTTAATTTTTTTAGTTTCTCTGTCTTGGTTTAGAAATTGTGGAAGTCACCCCATTGGAAAACTTTCTAACGAAACCCTAAAATTGTATTATACATTTTTATCACTAGATGCTTTATAACATTTTTGCAAAATTAAAAAAAATGTTTGTATAATTTTTATTTATTAAGCTTTAAAGCTTCAAAAATATTGAAATAATATTTATAGGAAAAATACTTGCAGGCCATCGCGTCACCCCAGGGCGAAATTTACAAATTTTATTAATCCTCTTCTTCAGAAATGTTCTCTCTCAGTTTAAACAGGTTTTTTTGACATTTTATGTCTTTACTTTGGCACACAACCGGAAAAATCGACAGTTACAAACAAACCTAACGGTCTTTATATATACTAATATCCTTATATCTTTATACATCCTTATATCCTCCCGTGGATATAAAATTGGTTGCAAGTTGTTGTAAAGGGATGGGGATGTTTTATTGTAATTTTTTACTCAGAGGTTTGACGAATGCTCTTACTTTTAAAAGCACTAGTTTGCAACCGCTCGTGGTTCTTTTAGTTTTAAAGTTTTATTTAAACAGTGAAAAAAGAGCCCAAAACGAGTAATTATCTGTGTTAATTAAACGAGAAAAATTAAGTGCTTTAAGGCACGGGTTTATGTCAAAACTTAATTGAAAAATGTTGGGAGGATTTTTTTAATAGATTTGCTATCGGTTAAAATGCTGAGACCTTTAAAATTATTTTTTAAGAACAGGGTGATTTTATTAATAATATATGTATATACACACATATATATATATATATATATATATATATGTAATGTAATAATATGTTGTGTGTGTTATAATATAGTTTCATATACTATATACGCTCTCAGAACCGAAGATATTTTAAATTTATAGTTTATCCGGCCTAATAATAGGCGAATAGTAATTTATATAATTCTAATATTATACAATCAAAAACAATATTTAATATTACATTAAAATGATTTTGGATTTCTTAATGGTCGTTTTAATGTGCTCCTATAAATTTAAGTATACATGTTAAAGAAATTATAATAATAATAATGATTTTACATTATGAGTATGTATATGTGTGTGTAAATAACATGAAAATTTAAATATCATAATATATTAGTTATAAGAGGTCAAGGACCTCAAATTTTACAAATCTTATTTATAGTTATTTAACACAAAGTCTCACTCGGTATCAACCACATGATGATGATAATTTTTAACCTAATCAACAAGGATCACTATATGCATGGTATGTATATTATTCACAACAACATAAAAGTCTAGTACTAATAATATACTGTACATAAATAAGCCTACTACTATAGAAAATGTATTTTCCAAGTGTTAAGAGAATAAGTGAAAAATATTTTTTTAAATAAATATTTAAAGAGGTTCATCATTACAATGATAAGTATAGGTAGAAGTAATATTTACAATTTAAATAGGCTGTAATAATAATAATAATAATTGTACTAATAATAATAATAATAATAATAATAATAATAATAATAATAATAATAATAATAGTAATAGTAGTAATAATAGTATTAATAGTAATAATAATAATAGTAATTATAATAATATTTTGTAATAGTAATGGTGAATAATGTAACTTTATACATTTAAAAATAGAAACGGCGAAATCCTTTTGAGTACATCAATAGTTAACATTAAATAACTATGAACTATGGTATTATTATTTAATATTACACCGATCACAGGTAAACTCTTCGTAGGTTAGACGGAAGCGTTATGACATAACACTGAGGACACAGTTTCTTGGAACCCTAAAATATAAACATAATAATAAGAACTCCTTAATTTTAGCAGTTTATTAAATAAGAACAATACAAAAATCAATAAAAATTATGATATTATGAAAATAACGAAATTCAGAATAAAACAAATTTTCAATACATAAGAGATAATACATATTGTACGCCATAACTCTTATTTTCAATAATTATTAGTTACCAATAACTATTTTCATTCACCCCTCCCCCTTAATTTTTTTTTAATTCCAATGAAGGGACCAGGAAGTAGTCTTTTTTCTATTCCTCTATTGATGTTTATAAAATTACATAAATATGTAATTAAATTTGGGTGAAACTATTTCAAGGCGAAAACACATTTTGGTATAATTGAAAAGTGGCGGACTTCGTTTTCGACTTCCCCTAGTTAGTGCTATGCTGTATTTTCATTATGAAATAGACTGTATTTTTGTAATTAAGAAAATATTTATCTACGTCATGGTATTTTAGACGTCATTATTTGTATTACATTTTTAATAATTATTGCTATCCAGTAGCTTGACAAAACTAATAGGATTAATACGCAAGTTTTGCGCTTTCGTTGATTTTCCACTTGCAGTGTTATCATCTACGCCATGCAAAATTATTAAAAATATAATATTTACTTATGGGGCATGAAGTCTAATATTTTAATTTCCCTTTTTTTTAGTTTTATAAGCCGTAATCAACATTTGTATTTTCTGTCAAGATTGAATATCTAAAAATAATCTTCATACTTATCCGTAAATTCACGTTTAAGTTTTTTCAGATAAAAAAACTTGAGGAAGCTACGGGACTATCTTAGGGAGCTAAGTATCAATTGTCGACTATATTTATAACAAAAAAAAACCCACGGCTTGTAACCGTTAACGTTGTAGACTTACCAAAATTTGTAGCCAACATACTTCGCAGTACACGTGCCAACACGAAGTTGAAACTACCGGGTCTTTAAAGTTACCCTGCAAAGCAAATGTCAACAAACTTAAATCATGGTCTTTAGTATCGAACATTTAGTAGAGTGCAATCATATAATTTTAGTCTACTCACCTTGCACAGTAAACAGGTAAACTTGTCACTGTTCTTGGATACCAATTCCAGCTCTCTGATTCTAGCTTTAAGCGCTTCGACTATTTGATTGTTGTTGTTGAACTGATATTTTTCCACGTCCATTTTAGGTTTGGTCTGTTGACTACCGTCTTCGGGTGACAGCTCTTTTTTGATCGATACGTCAAGCGGCCCAGATGTATTTTCACAAAATTCTGCCGTCATTTCCATTGCGTTGGAATCGTTTTGTCTGGAATAAGTCGATTTCATAATCAATAATACGGGGACAATTAATAAACATACAATTAGCAAAGTTATAATAGGTAGTATAACGTTGTTTCGATTCGATAACATGTACAAATAAACTATATCAGGTATTATATCAAGATATGTTAGCTTAGAACTGTGCCTGATATATAAATATAATTGAATATTATAAAATATAATTTAATAAATTTTAAATTAAAATTTAAAATGGTTATTTATAAAAAAAATGTTTTGAAGAAAATCGCCGATTATATTCATCAAACATTTATACTCATTTAAAAATATTTCCTTGTGGCTAGTGTCTATTAGTGCAGGATAAACTTTCAGAATAATTTTTAACGGAATCGAACTTGTAACTTTAATGACTGCTGTACTTTTTGGATTTTATATTATTCAAGAAGAAATATTTGGTATAGGTCAATATTATTATGTGAGTTATAATAACATAAAAATCAAATTTCGAGCTCGGCTTACTCGGGTGTAAGTTGGCTCTCCGAAGTAGGAGGTGGAATTATATCTTGTTCAGCGTACTGGTTTGGGCCATACTTGTATATTTCGTCTTCACCGTTGTCGTCAACCACAAGCACAGCGTCCTCGTCATCTGCGGTTGATTGTCTCGGATTACAATTGACAATGGGCACGCCTGCTTATGTGAAATACTTAAATTAGTTAAGTACAATAAAAAATATAGCTGCATAAATATTTTCGTTCAATTTTAATGAACGGTAAAAACCAGTCAAGTTAGATCAGATTTTTAGCTGCTTTAAACTTCAATATGATAGTTGAATTTGGATTTCATCGTACAGTGTTTCGTAAATTCATACCACATATTAAATAACTTCTTATTTTATTAATCGGGTATTTATAGATAAATTTAAATTTGTTTAATTTTTCACCTTTATAAACCATAGCGGAATTAAAAGAAGTTGTACATGGAAAATATAATATAATTGAGTGACGACTCATAAGTATAAGTCATAAATTTGTGTTATAAGGTGAGGTTAGGTTAAGATTGTCTAAGGAAGAAATACCAAGATAATTGTGTTAGTCCTTCCTTTGACGGAGAAAACAATATAATAAATAATTAAAAATGTTTCCATTCTTAGAATAAAATATTACAAACATAGCACATTGCATGTAAATGTTTGTACATTCAAAATAGTACCAATAAACATAATATTTCCGGATCTATTTAATCATACCCGTTAAGCTACACATAATGGATTTATATATATATATATATATATATATATATATATATATATATATGTAAATATATAGTCTTAAATTGTATTATATATAATTTAATCATGATGTTTGCGATCACTGATAGCAGCCATACCTCTGTTGTATCCATGTACCAGCATGGAAGGCTGCCGCATTCTGTTTGTCCAGCCATACACGTCGTACATTTCACTGTCTCCTTCCACGTCCACATTCTCATCTTCGTTGGACGCCGGATGGCCCTGTAGTAAAAAAAAAAGACTAAAATATTACAATGATAATAATATACAAATTACAATACGATAATATACGGAGATTAAACATTAGCTCTAGTCGTCCTTAGTCTAGCATGCGATTGTCATAAAGATAATGGTAATTTCGGAATTCCATCTATTATTCAAAAACAAACATAAACTTCGTCCGAGAATTAATAAGGTTGATTACAGGTAGTCGTTAATTTTACCTAATCAAAATAATTAGTGTATTTTATTTTCATACAGCACATTAAAATATTTAAAACATTATGAGCATAGTGTTAATCAGTGCTAAAAAAATGCCAGTAAAAATTTAATTATTTCCAGATTAGTATGAGCAGATTTGTGATTAACTAAATTAGCTACTGAAAATATTATTACCTTGCATTTCAGGCAAATTACTCAATTTTCGCAAAATATTAAATTCATTTTAAAGCAATAAGAGCTGATATTAATATTAAGAACTTTTACTGTGCTAATTGCATATAAGTTTTATTACTATAAAAAACAATTGTTAACAAATATGTATAGTGTAGGTACTAAGTATACCTTGTTCCTCAGGCACATTTCCACGTGCAGGTTTATCTGCTCTTGTGTACCAGGCATAGGATCGTTACACACGGGACAACATACGTCATCCGGCTTCCGCTTGCGGTTCTTTATTCTCAATCTGTTGTGACGGTTAGCTTTTACCTTTTGGTAAGTCTAGATAAAATAAGATACATAATATTAGTCCGTTAAGAAAGTTCGTTTTTCTGGATAACACATCAATATATTGAGACATTTGGACATAACTGTTTGAACAGTCGTAGAATTATAAAAGAAAATGAAAAAAGTGCATAATGTTTATTCTTCGGGTTTTTAACTTATTCAAACCGCAAAAATACTTTGAATTCTATATTAATCTTTATCCATTCCAATTTGTCTCTTCAACATTGTCGTTATAACATAATCAGATTCCAGTACCATGATATCAAATCATTATTGTTACCCATATTTCCTTAAAAATGTATTATCACACTTCTTTTCGATTTCTTAATACAATTATAAACTTATTCGCTTTGACCTAGTATACTATTATTGTTTAATAGTTTGAATTGCTTACTTGTAAAACTACGTAAGTCTTACACGTTTATTATTAATGTTAATTAGTTTTTGAACTATAAAAATTTGTTGAACTAAGCGAAAGCTAATAAATAAACTAACAAATAGGGTTAATTTATTTTATTAGTGCGTGTAACATAGTTGAAAGATTTGCTTAAAAACTAATCGGGCTTTCGAGGAAAATAACTCAACGAGACCTCGACAAGCTTTATTATGTTCAAAGTCGTGTATATCAAAGTCCACAGCGGCTGGGCTTCAAAAATGTTAGTGATTAATAGAAAAATAAGAATGATTTTCAATATCTCACTCTTAAACAGAGACCAGTTGAGTAGAGTAAATTTAACTCCTCGGCCGGCATAATGTTATGGGTCTGTGCCAACAAAATATTGAAATGTTGGTGGTAGTAAAAATTAATCGAATCCTTCGTTCGGGTGATGACAATAATATTTATGTGCATGTACTATATTATTAATATTAACAATAATTTATGCTGCCTGTTAGACCTAGTAAGGTAGCCATATGAAGTGACACAATGATGTTTATGGACGCGAAACAATAGAAACCAATTAGACGAATATTGTAACTTTTTGTTTTTTGGACGGTCGAAAAATCATTTGAAAATCACCGCCTCGCAATATTGTTTTGCAAGTGATTTTTTAACCTTTTTCCAGAACGCATAAAATTGAACGCGTTATTCTGTCTGTAGATCATCTATGCACGACAACCGACTGACCTCGTCCATGCTCGTTTTAACTACAATAATAACAACTGGACCCATCCGCTACCGTAGCAGATCACGATCACGCTTACAGTATCGTCATCGTTGACACAACCGTTGGAGTCCTCCAAAACCAAAACTCATAATGCTCCCCCCCCCATTGGTAAAGAACAAAACCCATTTACAAGAAATGTGCATAAAAAGTATTTTAAAATTGGTTAAACGACGTGTGATGTTATCTATTTTTGACGCATAATTATTGTGTACTAATATGTTGGTGATCAAAAATAAATTATGTGTAAAACATCAACAACTATATTATAATATGTATTCCTCTAATGCTCTACAATGATGTTTACGGTACACATTTGCTAAATCAAAATTATTTTTCTCATATTATTATAGTGACTGAGAGCAGTGATTTTTTCCTAAATATTATATTTTATATTACTATTATTATCGAGTTCGGTAATGTACTCACTTCCCATCGACCGTGCAACGAAGCTTCTCGGCCAGGCGACAACGACGTCCCTCCTCCGCCACCTTCCCTGGTCTGATCCTTAAAGTCCTTGTCGCTGCCGGTTCTTCTGTGTCTGCGGTTGGTCGAAGCCTTATACAACCGTTCTAGCTCGTAGAGGAAATGTGATTCCAGGTCTTGGGGTCTCAGCGAGACGCTGCACACCGGACAGCAAGGTTGTTGCTGCTGCTGCTGTTGTTGCTGCAAAGAGGACTGTTGAGCTTGCTGCTGCTGCGATTGGTGCTGGAGTTGTTGGGGTTTTACCGTCACGGTTGGTGGCACGGTGGCTTTTTTCCCTGCGGAACCGAAAATATCGTTAAAATCGAAAAACGGACCGACCATGGGCGGCAAAGAGCGCGACGACGGTTGCGGTAGGCCCGCCGCTGCAGCCGCCACCGTTGACGGGGTCGACAAGAATTGTTGTCGGTTATGGAAGTCGGTCATAGTCGTCGGATACGGAATCGGGTATACTTAGGTGTTAATATAATATGAGTATTAGGATAGGTGATACGAGACACGACGGACGACCACGGTGGATCAGGGACGGCGACCGTGGGCTGACTGACTGACGGACTACAACACAAACACACTAGCACGCGGGGTCACCCTCCGGTATAAATGCAAACCGCTTCTCTATACACGGGGTGAAGTCACCCGGGCGGATATCGTCCTCCTAAATGCCTTGTATACGGGGTGAACGTGACGACGGCCGCTTAATGCTACAACTATACAATGAACGGCAATCGTCAGACACCACAAAACAACACTTTCGAAGGGTCGACAAGTCTGTGTAGAGCCCGTGGCCAAATTAGGGGAGGCTAAGGTAATTTCACCACTGGTCAGATCATCATCTTATGAAGTTCAACTTATTGTCTATTTGTTTAAAATAAAAATCATATAACAAACATGTTATACAACCTCTGCGTGTTCTGTGTAAAATTTAACCTTAATACTACTCAATACCTCGTTTTCTTAAATCAATGATGTATTGGAAGCGAACGTCACACATCTTTCCTTTGACGAAATTACGCTCGTGTCAATAATATTTATCTATTTATAGACAACGTATAAGTATCGATATTATATTTTCCCTGTGCGACGCGGCGTTGTCGAGCGACATTTTCACAAATCTAAAACTGAATTATTGTTGGTATGAAGGCGAGTTTGCGCATCACCCTGTATAGAGATCAGTCTTCGCTGCTCGACAATGGACATACTAACAAAACGCGCGTACGATCCCTACACAATATCATAATAATATACACACAGACACATATACACCCCGTTATATATAGGTGTATAACGTGTGCCCATAATACTAGGTCGGGATCGGATTCCGGAATGACAATAACGTTTTTTGTGCGAGTAAGTCACCGGGCGGAATTTGATTATTTCCTTCTACTTCTTTTTTTGCCAGCCTATTATTGTAACAACACAGTGCTGTTTTGTTGGAACCGTAGTGCGAATACCATATTGTATACACGCATAGCTCACAAGAATGACAATGGGTAGGTGCGGGATGAGAACGAAAGAATGAGAGAAAAAATATAGGTGTCATACTACCCTGTATTGTACACACAAATATGTGCAATACATACAGAATGATATAACGGGTAATACAGTCACCTAAATTCCTACGATTTAACTAGTCGTTATGAAATCGAAGATATAATTGTTAGTCGATCGAGTCAACTGGAAATTGGAATGTAATTTCTGTTAAAGTAGACGATTATTTTTTTAATCTCTTAGGTGTACATTATTACGTGTTTGAATAACTTTTTATTCGCATGACTAAGTCCTGGCTGTTTTAATGTTATATAAATATGTATACTATAAAACGGATATTTTTCGGGTATTAAGAATTACAATAGTTGATAGGTCAAAGTATTTAGTAGACGACAGATTTTACGATAAAACAATGTAATACTAGACAGACTTTAGTCTGTTTAAGAGGTTTCACGGTTGAGTTCAGAAGTTAATACTGCAAAATTTGTCTAGATCTAAATGAGTGGTAAAATACTCTGTATACCTGTAGTCTACAGGTATACAGAGCTGTAGACACTTGGGAGGCCAGGCCGGATATTTCGACGTAGCCAGTGTGACGCCATTGGCTGCGACCGCCAGGTGCAGGTTATGGGTCAGGTTATGCGGGTGGCCGCTAGACATTGACCCGCAGCGGGAGACCCACGCGACTCGGATCGACCTTGTCTAAATTGTCGTTAAAGTCGTTGGAGCGCGGACTGACTTCACAGGTTCTGGACCGATGTATAATAAAATAACTTCATTTTGTTGAAGCTAGAACCTACATAAGTCCATTATATACTAAAATACATTTAAAAAAATCACAAGCCAGGCTAGACGTCCGCTTGACAACCACAAACCTATTATCTTATGACAGCCACAACATGCAGGATCATTATGCATTTTAATTGTATGGTAAAAAGAGCACCGAAATTATTTTGACTTAGTTATTATAAGACTAAAAAGAGTGGAAATCTTAAAAATTAGTGTGACTTCTCATACGAGACGTTTCTGAGGTGACCAGGTTGGTCCGACGGGGTTAGTTTTGCGACTAAGTTAAAATTAAACGAGACACTACCCATAAAAGTTTCAGGAAATAATCAATAAGTTTTTAATTGAAACTCTTCCCCTAAAAACGTGTAGAGGAAGGTCTAAGGAAATATGACCCAAAAAACAAATTAAGAAATGTATACGCTCGTATTACTTACAATCAGTTATAAGTATAACCCGCCCAGTTCGTCTTGAGCTCGAGCGACCATTAAGTGTTAAAATTATTGGGGAGTAAGTAAACCCATCAGCACAGAAATGTTGCCAACCTTATTTTCTTTTAAAAGTAAATTTTTTATTTATTATTTAAGTTTATAAAATACTACAAATATGAACACAACCCCTATTTTGGTTAACCTACAAATTTGCTTATTTTACGAATAAGATTTATATCATGAGATCAACAATTATGTATTATATATTATTATGTATAACTGTTAGCATATCGACAACACTGTTATCCAATACAGTGATTTTTAAACCCTGACTTGTTATACCGTGTTAGACCGGGCTCAACATGAATTGGACGGGTTGTTATAGTATGAGACGGGTTTTTAAACATGTCTGATGACCATTAGTGTGGTCGACCATAAATAATTGAAAAGTTGACAAGTTAGGTTAGATAATATACCTGTTGGCTTGGATACTACAAATTATTTGGACAGTAAAATTTAGTTATGGTGTTAAACACTGAAAATAATAACACGACATGGAAAATGGAAATTTCAATTACAGCCGGTAAACCAAAAACTTTCCTAATGGAATAGTGCGAATATCTATTTATTTGTATGTGCTCGCTTCTATTAGATTATATTATTAAAGAGGATATACATACCGTGTATGAACATAGTATAACAATGTAAATCAAAATTTATTAGTGCCAATAGTTTTAACATATTATTCACTCCAAAGCAATTTTTATCTGAAATTCAAATTAGCTTAAAAATAATTTTGTTGTTTTTACATTTTGCATTTTCCCAGTTATTGCGGAAAATACTTGTTAAAAAATGTCACGTTATATTGCCTTACTCGAAGGAATTTGTTAATATGAATAACTGACGTATTTGTGTTGCTGAAAATTCTCACCCTTTTCACGGGTCGCTATATGAAAGCCGTATCATACCTACATAATAATATTAATATATATCGTTTACATTGTCTGTATACCATATAAACCGAGATACGTACACAAATGAAAAGGTGTTTTGGTAGTGACGGTCTGACGAAGGGTCGCCGCCGTCAGTTTGCCAATAACAACGTGCGTTGGAACCTTTTTGTCAATTTTGTCGGCCGGTAGGGTGTTATTTTTTTCTGCCATGTTCACCAATTCTTGACTTTGCACAATTTGATTATTGTGTTCGACAAAGCGCTATTTATCACTGATTTAAAAAAGGCATCGTTTCTATGTATGTATTTTTGTTACCCCCTGAATCGTTTTATTTGTCAAAAAGAAGAAATGTTTAAAATTTCTGCCTTCTAGGACAACTCTAAGTTGTTCCTATAGACTATAGAGGCATATGGTCCCCACTTGATTAACACATAAAAATAAATTACATACAAATACTATTTAATATTAAATAAAAATAAATTTTCTTATTAAAACCGTCATAACTTAAATAAATATATTATAAATTTAAAAAATAATTTTGATAGCTGACATTTGTACCTTTAAAATAATTAAATACATTTTTAGTTTTTTGTACGTTTTTTAAATGAGGAAAATATGGCTCTATAGGAACCACTTAAGAGTTGTTCTAGAAGGCTAACATTTTCAACATTTTTTTCTTTTCGACAAATAAAATCGATTTAGGGGGTTGTAAAATTGTATTTTTTAATTTGGGGCAAAATACATTTATAGTCGGAAAAACTTAATAGTTACGCTAAAACGAAATGTTTAGTCAAACCAACCTTACATTTTATTGTGTCCCTATTTTACATGTATATTCTTTTCATATGTCCGTTTCAAAAATAGACTTATTCGAATTTTAAACAAAACACAGTTTTGTACATGACATTTCATTTCATTTAACGAAAGAAACTTTAGTAGGTGCTGTTTTACAGCATTACACATGTTCAAATTTGTATTTTTTTGGTAAACTTAATACAACATTATTAATTAAAAAATCTATCAACAAACGTTTTTTTTAGAGCAAAGCTACAAACTTAAAATTATTTTATAGTAACACAAATTAAACGTACATTTTTTGAATTCTACGTTTTTATTAGGCTGGCTTAACAGCTTTTTTTTTTCTAGGATATTTATAGTTTAAGCTGCAGGTGCTGTTATTTAGGTCTGTTAAGTCTGGTGTTTTTTTTTTATCTGTATATAAAGACGCAGTGAAAGTTAAATTATATTCTATTAAATCATATTTGAGTGTCGACGCGATAGCTAAGAAGGTATTGGTTTTACAATTATGGGTTTTTTTTGTGTCTAAAGATACGATAACAGTTTTTCCTGTGGACCGAATTGTTTAAACTAGTCTAAAGATGTATTGATTTTTTTTAAAAATAAGTTCCTAACAATAAATTTTTTTTTTACTTGCTAATAGGAAAAATAGTTGTATTTTCGACAAATACGGTTTCCTATACGAAACCTCTTAATTAATGCATGTTAGACGTCATTTTTTCATTGCATATATATTGAACCCTTTAGCGGTAGACAGCCTTATTGTGTCGCCATTGTGGTAGTAGCAGAAAATCGTCTCATATTCTCTTTCTTTTTATCATT